TTTTACTAACATAAAATTATCCCATGCAACTCATCAATTCTGAAGGCATACGGTAGGGTTTGCTGAGAAACAAATCGAAAATGTAATCTAAGTTAGCCTATTATTAAGCGAAAATCTCCAGTCATTACATTCGTGGATTTATACGAATGCGCGGCAGTTCGCGCCGGCGCGCCTAGGAAAAGCACTTTGAAACATCAAGACAAATAAAATGGTAATAAAATGACTTGAAACACAGTAATTAGGTGAATATGGTGAATATCCCTGTTCTGAGACAGTCAGACAGTATTATACAGCCTAGAATGCACAAAAACTCATATAATTCATATAATCACTAAAAGCTGTCACTCACTTCAGTTCATTGCCATCTTACACACTCCGTCAATAAGCTCTCTACACGGCACAATGAATCTCTTATTTACATCGTATCTACACTTTGTTATAATGAAAGGATTCCAGAGCTTGCAGAACTCAGCACTTGACAAAAACTTGGCATTTTGAGTGGTGAGTGGATTCTAACTTAAACACTTTGGGTCATTGTGTTCTGCAAATATGTTTCGCCAATAGGCCTATCAGATGGGGCCCCCTGATTCCCTGGGGCCCTAAGCGGCCGCTTACCTGGCTTATTGGTTAAGTCTGCCCCTGCACGCAGCACACGGTAGACACGCGTTTGTGCAGCAGAGCGGCTCTCTCTCGCGCTGTATGACGTGACAGTCCTGTTAATAAGGTTTTCCGAGAATGTGGTTGTGAGTCCTGAAAATGTACGGGTGTGAGTTCAGTTACAGAATGCGGTTGTCACGCCTGTAAATAACCGTACTGTGTGAACGTAACCGTATTAAGAACTCAAATACAGGACTGATAACAGTATTCTGCTGCTGTGTGGATGAGGTCTATGAGGATTCAACACAGCATTTCTGCTGTGAGCTGACAGGAGGGAAAGATCATTTACAAAAGGTAATTGCCATCATCTTAATTCTTGGTGTTCACAAGGATTATAAAGAAATAATGACAGGTAACAATTTCTACCAGTGTACATGACAGCAGGGTTTATAGTATTATAACCTATAATTCAACCCATTTACTCAAAAACAAATAGAAACTGAAAAACAAAGCAAGAACAAACCTGATGTGCATTCTTAATTCATCATTAAAAATCTTGCTGCTTTTTTTTTCGTAGAAAAGGTACTTCACCATCCTGCTCTGGCCGAAGTGATTTAA